CAGAGATATATAAGCAACGGAGCAGCCATGCCAAAGGAAACTCACAAATCACACACTCTGGGCAATGGGACAACTGGCAGAAAGACAAAAGTAAAACAACTGCCTCTCTACCTTTCACAGCCTTCCTCAGCTGACACCACTGCAGTTTGCTGCTGAATTGCATCAGCTAAGCCTGCAGTTTCTCTAACCAACCTCTTTCTGCAGTCCCTCATGGCAGAAGGAAGTGGGGCAGCTGAGACTGCGACAGCGCTGCAAGGCAAAGCTCAATGAACAGAAGTGGGCATGGGGAGCAGGCAGACATTTCAGGTGGCAGCCCTGGGTACATCCTACTTGGGCAGTCCCTTGCAACAGAGGAGGAAGGGTAGGAAGCAGTCACTGTGGCACTTGAAATAAAGACAGAAATTCTCAGGCACAACAGCTGATGTTCGATCATTCAATTTTTCACAAACTACAGATGTCAACAGTATGATTTTTGCTGTCAATATCAATTTGGAAAGTGCTATTGATAATGTGCCAGTACAGCTCGATAACATTTGAATCTACAGACTGAATCTGCACTGAAATCCTTACTTTGTTCTTGTTCAATTCAAACAGACTGCCAAGGGCCTCTCTGTAGGAGCAGGCCAGGCAAACACATAGGGCAGCTGAACTACAGAAACCCGGTGTCTCTTTGCCTTGGTGGGTCAGCCAAGAAGCTTTTATGGTGCTTTGAACATCTTCCTCCCTGTATGGGTCAGCAGTGTTATTTTGGGATGGACTTATATCTCACGAAGATGTCCAAGGGGAGGGAAGTAGTACGACCCTGAAAGCTCTTCTAGATCCCATCAGGACCTGGGCGCAGACCCAAAACAGAGCCAGGAGAAACTGGTCCTATTTCTATGAGAAATACCTGCCTTTTTTGATATGCAGCCATGTAGAAGATTTCCTTTTTCGTTTTTATCCTGAAAATAGAAATGGAGCAGTTAGTGGGAAAAGAGAAAGACCATGAATATAACAAGCTGAGTAAAAAGTTTCTCTGCAAATAACAGTTTAACATCACTAAGAAGTTAGGTTAAAATGGTCTCAAAGTCTAAAATTAGTTACATTTTAAACTAACAGCATATGCTTTTATTGTCTCTGATCTAAAATATAATCCCAGGAGGCTGTGAAAAGCATGCAAATTACAGAAAGCTAATTTGCTCCAGCAGCGACACCTCCCCTGTAGTTGGGAGGTCTATTAGGCCTGGCGTACTCGCCATTATTTGCATATTAATAGCACCTGCTGAAATACTTTGGGATTTACTTCCCTTGCCAGCAGAGGGACAAAACAAAACAACAACAACAAAAAAATCATATAAAATTCCTTTCATATGGCTTTGATGAACAATAAACTATTTAGACAGAGCTAAGAATGCCAAATTAGCGAGAGGCGACAGGGTGGTATTGTAGATGCCATCTGTGATTCTCAGAGAAACCGGACTGCAAATTTGCTAACAAAGAAAAGCCACCAAAAAAAAACCCTACTGAAAAAAAAACAAAACAAACCAACAAACCCACCACCAAGAAAGCCCTCTCTGGAAAGTGCTGGGCAATGTGCAAGCACTCACTTGGCTCAGGTTTGAAGAATGGAAAAGTTTAACTAAAGAAATCCAGACACTGTAGCAGGGGAAAAAAAAAGGAAAAAAAAACTCCATGAAAAAATCCCCACACATCCCCAACCACCGAAAGTAGAGCCCCCCAAAGTGGACCTTGATTAAAAACCTACAAACCCCAGGCTTTGATACTAGCCAGGCCTGCGAGGCCCTGTCCCTTGCACATAAAACAAGAAATAAATTAAAACCAGTCACAGCCTGAGATTTACTTAATAAGCCAGCTTCCAACCTCTGCTTGTGACCACTGCTTCCCCTGCTGGCCCCCTGGCTATAAAAAAACCCCTTCTATGCTTCTGTATCTCATCTTCCTCGGGTGGGGATCACAGCAGCTGCTTCTCTAGCAGGACCCTGTATGTTGGAGAATGGAGCCCCAGCCCAGCAGCATGCATGGGGATGGGGAATGGAGCCCCAGCCCAGAGAGACCCCGTGGTCCCTCCCTGTGCCCAGTGCCCTTGCTCCACGTGGGGCAAAAAGGATGCTCCCAAGCAGCACGTTGTTGTTGGCCTCTTGTCTCCCCACACAGACAGAGCTCCACATATCTTCAGCTCTGTGCAGTCAAATGAGACCTATGAAAAACTTGCTCAGTGTCAATTATAATTACCAAAGGAGGCAATCAAACATTACAGCAACAGGGACCCCTGAAATGCTTAAGACAGGCAACTCCCACCATGGCTGTCAACAAATGCTAATTCTCATTAATGTATATGTAGCTCTTAAATGCTGCAGTGGTGCTAGCTATTAGTATTAGCTAGTAGATAATTAGTAGCAAGCAATAGAACTGGTTAAAGTTACAGAATGGAAAGCATCTGCCCCACCACAGCCCTCCCAAGACTGCTGGAAGGAAGGGAAGGAGTGTGGGGAGCAGGGGGGGTCTGCCCTGGGTCTGGGAATCTGGGGCACCTGCCAGCACTCTGCCAGGTGCTGCCCCCCAGCCCTATGGGAAGGAGCTTTCCAAACATGAAAATCCATGTATTTGTAATGACAGCAATAAACAAAACAACAAAAACTACCCTGAAAAGCATAAGCCCAGGCCTTTACCTATGATAACAAATTGAATTGGATATTCCTTACCTGAAGTTTCATGACTAATTAGCAAACATAATTATCCACAAATGCATGTATGTCCTGTTATCCTTATAGCCATTTCAGCAGCCCCGTTGCAAGCCTGCAGCTTGTGATCTGGCAGCTCTAGCAGCCCCCAAAACACAGCTTTTGCCTTTCCCCCTGCGACCCTTTTTTTTTTTTCTTTTCTTTTTCCCCCAAAAGTTCATGGCAGCCGATGTTTTACCACCTGCAAACCGGGGGAGAAGAAAAGCAAGGGGGAGAGGATCAATATACACAGTATTCAGCAAGAGCGTGTTGCGGTGCGGGGAGCTGTGAGGTGTTTGCATTGTCTGTGAGGGGATCCATAGTGGCACTGCGGCTGGTGAAATAATGGCAGATCAGGGGACTGCCTTCGGCGACAAACTTTCATCTGCTAAGTTACAATTATGTTGTAGGAAATGCTACCCCAGACTGCAACTAATTTGTGAATCCCAGAAAGGCAGATCGCTGATTCCTCATCAGGGCTGCAGAACCTGATCTATAAAAATTTGGGGCTCAGCAGGTGGTGGTGTGTGAGTGTGATTTGCATTTCAATTCTTAGTCCACCACAACCTTTAAATCTTCCCGCAGCACTATCACAATGGAAATTTTTGTTCACAGTGTGCTCAAAATACATATTAAAAAAAAAAGAACAAAAATCCTAGCACAATGGAAGTCAGTTGTTAATGGGAAAGAATGCCCAAATTGTTTCACAAAACGCCATTACATCAGAGTCTTTCATCATTTTATGGGGGATCAAATTCCCTGACACCATCTTCAGGGACTCCATGTGGCGCTCATCACTATCATTCCACTGCCACAAACACCACAGCCCTTTCAATTTTTATCTGCCCAGAACCCAGAATATGTTACATTATTTAGTTTTTGTAAGAAGCTTTTCCCTGTGAAGAGTTCACAACAAAAAAAAAAGGCATTTCCCTGAGAAAACAAGCTTGTGAATGTTGGGTAGGGGGGATTTGGGGCAAGCCCCATGGCAGGAGGTGAGAGCAGCTTCGCATCCTTCCTGCTGACTGATGGCACGGTTCCATCAGGGCTGGCAATGGCAGCATGGCGCTCACACAGTTCCCCAAAACCTTGATGGGTCAGACCAAGAAATCTGTATTCACACTGAAAATTAGTTATTTGTAGTAATAGGGAGGCTTCCCAGCGCTGCCACAGAACCAGCAATCAAGTGTGCAGAGAGAGGTTAAAAAAAAATCTACTCCTGGCTCCATCTGCCAAGGAAATATTCCACATCAGACGCTCTCAGCCTTGGAACCCAGTGCCAACAAAGCCAAGACTCGATGCCTTTCCTGTGTGTTTGTGAAGCCAATGGAGACAGGCACTTTGAGAGGAAGCCAGGACGCAGAGCCGTCCGTGGGCCACAGGCAATGAGTATTCACATTCTGGCAGAGCTCCGACACCTCTCCTTGCTGGACGTGGAGCCATCTTTGGGCTTAAAAAGGCACACATGACCGTGAACTCAAATTTACATTTATTTTGGCAATTTGATATCTGTTTTCCTATGTGTGGAGTTTTATTGCCACTTACTCAGATATGGCTGATCTCAGCAGGCTGTTCTCAGGACATGCTCTCCAGCTGATTGAATTTCCAGGCTCCAAACCTTACAGCCCAAGTAAAGGGTGTAGGATTTTGTCTATTGGCAAAAGGAGAACATCAAATAATAGACCCCAATACACTTCCATGTTCTTTCTGCTTTTCCTACTCATGGAATTGGTAGAAGTTCAGCAGCTACATGCCTTTATGAAAGGCATTTTATCTACCCATCTAATAGAGGCATTTTCATTCCCTTGCTGTGATTTGTCGTGTTGGGACGTGTTTGCTTTACTGCATATCAATTCATGCTGGCATTTGTAGGATCCCAGCACTTTCCCTGTGAACTTTCCTACAAGTTGCTCCCCTAAGAAAAGCAAATCTCTACCATGAAGGGTACAGCTTTTCTTGAAAGGCTCTTGGTGCACAGTTCCATAAGGAAGAGGCCAAAGTTTGGATAAGTCCCTCCCACTTCTCAGTCACTGCAGTATTCAGAGCCATCTATGAGGGCAAATTCTGCACCCCGAGGTCTGAAAAGTCCTTGATTCTCCCAGGATTTCTGAGTCCAAATCCTTACTTACTATTAGAGATATTTGCTTGCACTCCACTGAGTGTCAGAGCCCAGTCAGAGTATGTGAAGCTGGAAAAAGAAGCCTGATCCTGAAGGTCCTGCTCAAAAACCAAACAAAACCAAACAAAACAAGACTCATAGAAAGCAAGGGAAGATTGTCCAATGCAGGAAGTACAACTTTATTTTCTTTAAGGACACAGCCTTGCTATCAGCACAGAAAGCATTCAGCAGTATAGATCACACCAACTGCTCTTTGGTGTAACATCTCTGGCATTCAAAACATACAACTTCTGTGTTTGTACTACATTTCTCTCACAGCTTACATCGAGGCCAAACAGACAGCATTTTGCAAAGGTCTTCTAAAATAAGCTTATTTAAAAGAGCAAGGTCAATGCCCAACATATGTCAGATTCTGTGAGCAGAAATCAAAGAGTTAGGAGCAAATGGAATGTGTCAGAACTCAGTGGTTTTCCACGCCAGGCTCTTCATCCACGTTCACGTTCCTGCAGCAAAAAAAAACCAACAACAAAACACAACAAAACAGTATCAATCCCATCATATGGACTTCAGCTTTGGAAAAGTGCCTAAAAACATCCTCCCAGTGCCCATGCATAAGCTGGTTAGCTCAATAAATAAAACTAATGCATAGATCAGTGTTTGGTTGGACACGCTATTTATTGTCTATACAACTGTATTTTTCTTTCAATGGGACAGATGCAGATTCCATGCGTCGGCCCTAGGCTCTATTAAAAACAGTTTAAAAACATCAGTAATGTATTAAATTCCGCTTATAATGTGTCCAATTAAAGGAAAAAGAACATTAAAATAGGGAAAAAAAAAAAAAAAAAAAGTATTAATGGGATTTCAGAATTATTTAAAAAACATTCTGCTCCATTTTTATCTTTGCAAAAAAGGGCAATTTTTTACATAAAAGAGGAAAATTTTTTCTCTGTTCAGATAATGTAATTTGGCCTGGTCTCTTTAACCATGCCTTGCAGAACAAAATCTGTGATTTCAGTTAAAATACATTATTGTCACTTCAGCCTCCCATTTTTGTACTTTAAATTGATTGTAATGGCTGTGCCTTTGGTGGCTTGTGTCTCACCATGCATCTCTGTCACTTAGAGCACCTCTCACTATTGCTTTTCCAAATAACCACCACTGGATAATCACCTCTTCTCCTTTCTCCCAACTTTACTGCTCATTTCCCTCTGTATTTGCAAGCTGGTGCAGTCTGCAAACTGTTTGCTCTGTAACGCCTTCAACATTTGGCTGTTGCACTGGCACACCACAGTCAGGAATTTAAAGGAAGGATAAAAGCTGCCAGAAAAATGCCAAGCCAAGAGCTCTACAGGTAGGATTGTTTCTACCCCTGGCCCGTTTTCCTTGCTGCAACCCGACTGAGGAAAGAACAGGTGAGAAAGGAGGAGTGGGGTGTGACTGGAATTCCTCCAGCTGCACGCTGATGGCTCAGAACCTGTCAGTGCTGTGCAGCACAGGGCTGCATTCAGCTGGGCCCTGCTGCTTGATAGAATCATAGAATGGCTTGGATTGGAAGAGACCAAAAAGTTTAATTGTAACCCCCTACCTTGGGCAGTGTTGCCAACCACTAAATAAGGCAGTGGATCAGATTCCCAAGGGCCCCATAAAACCTGTCCTTGGACACCTCCAGAGATGGGGCATATACAACCTCTCTGGGCAGCCTGTGTCAGCACCTCATCACCCTCAGTCGAAAATTTCCCCAACATCTAATCTAAATCTCCCTCTTTTTAGTTTAAAACCATTCTCCTTTGTACTATCACTATCTACCCATGTAAAAGCTGATCTCCCTTTCTTCTTATAAACTCCCTGTAAGTACTGGAACTGGACTACCAGATCTTTCCTGAACCTTCTCTTCTCCAGGTTGAATGAGCTCATAATGTCTTCATGAGAGAGAGGCTGCAGCTCTCTTCTGCATGCAGTACTCCAGATGAGACCTCACGCAGGCAGAGTAGAGGGGGACAATCCTCTCTCTCTCCTGGCTGTCCATCCCTCCTGTGATGCAGCCCAGCACACTGTTGACTTCCAGCTGCAAGCACACACTGCTGGCTCATGTCTCCCAGTCTGTACACATATCTGAGATCACCCTGACCCAAGTGCAATAGCATGCACTTAATTCTGTTGAACCTCGTTAGGTTCTCATAGGCCCACTTCTCAAAACTTGTCCAGTTCCTTTGGATGGCATTCACTCCTTCTACTGTATCAACTGCAACACTCAGCTTGGTGTCATCTGTAAACTTGATAAGGGTGCACTCAATCCCTTCATCTATTTCACTGATAAAGATGTTCAAGAATAGCAGTCCCAAGATAGACCCCTTGAGTCACTGGCCTCCACCTGGACAGAAAGCCATTGACCACAACCCTCTGCTTGCGACCTACCAGGCAATTCCTTATCCACTGAATAATCTACCCATTTTTCTTCAATTTAAAGATAAAGAAGTGGTGAGGAATCATGTCAAAGACCTTGCAGAAGTCTATGCAAATGACATAAGTTGCCCTTCCCTTCCACTGATGCCATCATTCCATCATAGAAGTTCCCCAGATTGGTTAGGCAAGATCTGCCCTTGGTGAAACAATGCTGACCGTCTCAGATCACCTGCTCATCTCTCATGTGCCTTAACATATCTTCTAGGAGAATCCGCTCACTGATCTTCTCAGGTAGAGAGGCAAAGCTCACCGGCCTGCAGTTCCCCAGGTCATTCTTTCTTACGAATGGGCATGATGTTTCTCTTTTTCCAGTCATGACTTTTCAAATATAACAGAGTGGCTTAACAAGCATGTCAGTCAGTTCCTTCAAGATTCTGGGATGCAGGTCATTGGGCCCCATGGACTTACACACATTTAATCTCATAAGGCAGTCTCAGACTTGATTTTCTCTTACAATAGAGGGATTTTGCTCCCCCAACCCCCATTTAAGTGTTTGGGGATGCAAGGTTCAAGCTTGTGAGAGACAGAAGAAACCTCACTGCCAGAGAAGACTGAAGCAAATAACTTTTTTAGTACTTCAGCCTTCTCCATGTTGTAGCCAGTTTCCCCTTCTCATTTATCAGGGGGTACCTGTAAAATCTCTTCCTGTTAATTTTCATGTCCATCACCAAGCGCAGTTCCATCTGTGCCTTTGCTTTCTTGATCCCACCTGTGCACATCCAGACAGCATCCCTGTATTCCTCCCGGGTGATGCATCATTGTTTCCTTTGCCTGCACATGCCCTTCTTCTTCAGTTTGACTGGCAGGTCCTTGCTGAGTCCTGCCAGTTTCCTGCCTCCTTTGCTTCCTGACAGCACTTTGCAGGATGGAGGCTGCCCCAGACAAACCTGTTCAGGAAGGCAATGTTTCCATGGAAGACTTTGCACCAAAAAGGAGCCATCAGCAGAATGCTCAATGGCTCTGGCTGAAAATTACAACTGGATTTGCCAATGGCATCACAATCCTCTCAAATCCCAGAATGCACATGGTGACATGTAGACACCATAAAGCTTTTTCCTTCTGATGGGACGATCCTTTCTCCTTTGCTTTGCATAGATCTGGTTATTAACCGAAGAATTATTTACCTGGCATAACCATTCTATGCCATACATAGATGCGTTAAACTAAATATACTTCTGTGACTCCATCTATCCAAGCATCTACACTGACTGTGTTGTGAGAAAAAAAAAACAACACCCTAAGCAGTGATATTAGGAAGGATCTCTTTATGTACATTTATGAGATCTGCCACCAGGTGACTCCATTGTAAAATATCCATATTTTTGTAAAACAAAATGCTATTACTTTCATGCAAGATGAGCATCATAATAATCTCTCCCTCCCGCCCCCTCCAACCCATCCCCCAATTCCAGTAAGATTTATCACTCTGAAAAAATGTTATTAAATAGGTAGGACTCTAACTTAAGACATGAAGATTCTTTTTTATTTGTTTCTTTGTTTTTTTTTGTTTTTTTTGACTAGCACATGAAAATGTATTAGAGTGAGGGATTTCCAGAACAGCCTGATCTGTTCCTGTCTAATCAGACCTGATTAATTCAAATCAAGCTGCAATCCTCCGTTTTATTTTGCTTTACAAACTCAAGATCAACAACAAATCAGCAGTATGGAGCTATCACAGGCAGTTAACACGAGAAGCCTACAGATGCTGAGTCTCACGGAATCAAATGGATATGATTAAACATTTGGAATCATTTATTAATATTTTATATATTCAAATATATACAGAGCAGATAGGACCTATTAGAGGGCTGCTCTTCATAGGGGACTCTATTATTTTTGTGCCTTAGAACAGAGGATCCATCTCAGGTGTCACAAGATTTTTCTTCAAAATAGAAAAATTATTACAAATAACAGGGTTATGTGAGAGGATTTGTAAGTAACACCAAGCTGCACCAAACCACGCAATGATCTCCACTGATAATCAAAGCACTGGTGAGATATTTAGCACAGTAGAATAAATAAGGTGAGACAAAATACAACAATCTCACAAATCCAAGATTGCAAATGCAAAATAGATTGCCCATTCAAGAAGTATTTCAGAGATTTACTGAGCCATTATTTCCGTGGAACACAGATGTAGAGAGGCTCTCAGCCTGACCAATTTAATCCACATCAGACAAGGGAGACATAGGTTCAGGAGGCTGAACATGGATTTGGGCGCTTGGCACAGCTGTTTTCCTTAGGTGCAATACACTTGTCACTAGTGGTGGCACTTTGCATTTGCTGTATGGCAGCATATGCGCTTGCCACATTTGGGACCCATTATATCTCTTTACCCTCCAGCCACTTCCCTTCCCTTCTTGTTAGCTGCATGTCCATATATTCTTCCATACTCTTTCACTACATTGCAGTGCCAGCTCTTTGCCCCCTGCTTGCTCCACTGACTGCACACACCGCCAGCATGCATTACAAGCTTCCCATATTACACCCAGCTGCAGGCAGGGGTTCCATTTTTATATAAATTGCAGAACGTATACATTCATACATGCACGTGTACCCACACAAACACAGTCATTCTGTAAGGCATCACATTTATTCTATCAATGAAATACTTACCTACTGAGAAACATTTTTGCTATCAGAAGGACTGCATATAGAAAAGTTGAGGAATGACCAAGGAAATCTTTCAAAGCATAGCGCAAATCCAATCTAGAAGCAAAGGTGAAAAAAAAGGGAGGGGACAGAATATATGTTCACATTTCAGCCTCTGCAATTACAACCATAGTTACTGCAACAGCACAGACCAATTAGTGCATGTTGATATACCAGCTTTCAGATAAGGCATGTACAAAAAAGGCAGTTAAATGTTTCCGCTTGCTTTGTACACAGTGACACAGACAGGACTGACTGCAGGACTCAATTTTGTTCTCTGCTGGGTCATTGCATATGACAACAACAGTCAAAAGAAATTTGGCTGATGTCTTATTTGGAGGGGCTGAGCTGCCACCTTCTCCATTTTCACACTCCAGATTTATAGAGTTTCCTGCCATGGCAGTGGGACACTGCTTCAAAGGAAGAAGGCTCTGATCTGGACAGATGAGCTCACCTGGGCAAGATCCTGTGCAAGGAGTGCATGAGCCTAGCAGGGTGGAATCCCTGGTGGTGTGGGTGTGCAGCCAGAAAGATCACGAGCATCAACATAAAAACCCTTGCACTCTTTTAGAATCATAGAATCACAGAATAGTTTGACTTGGATGGGACCCTTAAAGGTCATCTAGTCCAACTCCCCTACAATGAACAGAGACACCTACAGCCAGATCAGAGTACTCAGAGCTTCATCCAGCCTGTCTCTGAATAGAGTTAAAGACTAGAATAGAATCACCAAGGTTGGAAAAAGCCTCAAAGATCATCTAGTCCAATCACTCACCTGTCACCAATATCTCCTACTAAACTATGTCCCCAAGTACAACGTATGAACATTTCTAGAACACCAGGAACAGTGACTCAATCACCTCCCTGAGCAGCCTATTCCAGTGCCTGACTCCTCCTTCTAAGAAGAAATTATTCCTAATATCCAAACTGAGCCTCCCTTGGTGCAACTTGAGGCCATTCCCCCTCGTCCTGTCTCTAGTTACACAGAAGAGGTTGACTACTACTTCACGACAATCTCCTTTCAGGTTGTTATAGTGATAAGGTCTCCCCAGAGCCAACGTCTCCAGAGATGGATCATCCACCACTTCTCTGGGCAATCTGTGCCAGTGACTCACCACCCTTATTGTAAAAAATGCCTCCCTTATATCCAATCTAAACCTCCCGTTCCAGTTTGAACCCATTTCCCCTTGTCCTGTCACAACATACCCTTCTACAGAGTCTGTCTTCTTTCTTACAAAACATCTTACAGAACATTATAAAGAACATTAAAAATGCAGCAGGCTCTGATTCCAGTCCTCATACCTGAAACTATGTCCTTGATGACCAGTGTTCAGCTCAGGCCAGATCTGCCCCTTGTCCCACTGCAAACCAGAACACTCCAGGGTTTGAGGACTTCACATACAGTTGCACAGATGGGAGTTGTTGTGGTGGAGGCACCTCTCGGAAAAACAATCCATATTCAGCTTTTCTCTCCACAAAAACAAGCAAGTGTAGAATCAAAGTTTTCAGTTCATAATATGGATTCAAACTCTATTTGAAAGAGAAAAAAATACAGATTGCTCAGATTTGGTCTGTTTGTGTTTTCATTAAAGCTATCCTCAAGTGTTTTCTAAAATCTCACCCTAAGGAAGAAATCACAACAAGCCATTAGTGACCAAGTTATTTTTGTATGGGGGGGAGGACACGGGTGAGTGACTGAGCCCAGTGTTACACAAAAAGTAGCTGCTGGCAACTCTGTCCTTCCGTGCATTGCGATGTTTCCAGACCTTACATTCCTTCTCCCATATATTAGCACACAGAAGGAGAAGGCTTAGGAAGGATGTCAAAACATCAAGGAGTACCTGGTCTCCTCTTTGAGGTGACAATTTGTAAATCACCATGGGGAGGCAGCTTGCTCACTTTTTTCTGTGTAGTTTTGAGGGATTTCATTGGAGAGACAGAGACCAGCTGCAGAGCAATGGGAGGTGGGTTTCCATCAGTGCCTGTTGCTGTAGATGAGGAGGTTGTTTCACCTTCCAGTGCAAGTGATACAAATGAAAATCCAGAGCTGGGGCTGGACAGATGAGAGACTGGAAAATGCCTGTCTGTTTTAATGTAAATAGTTCCAATATGCACATACATTTCATGCCATCTCACCGCTCTTACAAATGCCAGGAATGTTAAGTAGGTGGAGGCCCCTCTCAGCACTGACATGCTGTGGCTTACAGCAGCACTCCCCAGGCACAGCTCTTGGGCTGGACAACCAGCACAGTGGCAAAACTTTCCTGGTTGAGGCCGTCTTGGCAGAGTTAGAGGGCTGGCAGCATTTGCCACAGGCACTGTACAGGTCCCAACTGCATGGGAGTTGAGCAAGGAGGCTGAGCTCTCCTCTCTGGACTTTGCATGCAAGCCATGTCGTCTTCTATCTCCTAAGCACAAATTTTAGGTTAATTTTAATCAGCAGTGCCCAGCCATGTGACAAAGTAGCCCTTCAGGAACAAAACTTGAAAACTCCTTGCTGAGGAGTCTGGTGGTAAAGCCACCACCTGTCATCTGGGTCAGAGTTTTATCAGACATCAGGATCAGGAGGGAACAAGCACTTGTACTTTTTGATGGCCAGCTGCACTGCTTGGAGAGAGGAGCCGATTCAGGCTGCCAGTATTGGCTCTCACGCAGATAATAAACTAGACTGCCCTTTCTCCTGACATCACACTTCAGTCAAAAACTTTCCCTCAAAATGTCACTTTCAAAGTTGCAGCTTTAAAAAAAAAAAAAAAAAAGTCTTTATAAAAAATTCATGGCCACAATGATCTGATAATGCAGCTTTCTGATACCAGCAGATGTTTTGTCTAACATGTTCCCTGAAGCTGTACTCTGTGCCTTCATATCTTTCATTTCCAGTTGCTATCTGCTGACTGTGGGATGTCATGTACGTACCCTATAGCGATGCGCAGCAATTCGCATCTAACACCGCCGTGCGTAATGAGCTTCACAAGATGCTTGTCGCAATAACTCCGCACTTCCCCAACCATATGGAACACAACACTCCAAAGCCCACAGACACTTTTTTTTATTACAGTTCAGATCCTTAAAACATAATCTGTGTGATGTCTAGTGAATGTACGTGAAGAGCTGCTGAAAACAAAGTTAACACTTGTTCACATCATCTGTTACAAATGTCCAATTTGGGACAATAAATTTCCTCGGAACCTGTTCTTTTGCTGACTCGTTGCTTTATCTTTTTTCTCTTTCTCTCATGTCGTTTTTTTTTATGAACTATGCATATGTATTAAATGGGATTTGTTATCCCTAGATACCAATTTGCATAAAGTGCAAGCCATCATTGGTTGGAGAGAAGCAAATTACTTCTCCAGCAAGATCACACTTCTTTTTTTTCTTTTTTTCCTTTTTTTTTTTTTAATTTTAACAAACCGCAGGCAGAGACTGTTAACAGCACTTAGCCAGATATGCAAAGTATCACTTTTCTCAAAAGCAGCTTGATCAATGAGAGAAAAAAAAAAAAAAAGAAGAAGGAAGGGAGGGTATTATTCAGTTAAGTACAATGCAGGAATGACCCAAGACCAAGGCAGCTAACCCAGCCATCACCTGTAACTTGATCTGCCAGAATCCAAATGCAATACAATTCAAGTGTGGCTTGGCAGCCAGGACACAGAGCTAAATGCGATGCCTGAGCAGAGCCTCCCAGAACGACCACTGCCTTTTCCAAGTGTGCATAGTGCATTTCCAGAAGTCTCAAGCTTGCTCGGCAATATTACACATCGCTCAGTTCCCTGGCATAAGCCTTCCTTTCTCACTCACATCCCTACCCATTTATTCACACTGGGGATCTGGAGAACTGTGCAAACACTGGCCTGAAATACCTTTAACAGTGCAGGGAGGCTCTCCTCTGCCCTTCCCAATTTGACCAGCTCCTGGTGCCAGTGGTCCTCTGCAGGATGGCAGCTGCCATCCTGGCTGGCTTTGGGCAATCACTGTCTCCCTTTTTTCCTAATTCTCCTCATCATACACACCTGTGTTGGCAAGAGCCTGAACGTTAACAATGGAACAGATCCCCAGTTCTGAGCTAGCTCCCTATAACATCTGCACTTTCAGGGAGAAAGATAAAGAAAAGGGCAAAATGACTGTGACAGGATGTTACCAACACTTCAGGAACCAAATTACCTGAGCAAATCTGTGACGCTCATATGATGTAAAATCTCACCAGCCTGCAGTTAAAAGATCATGTACCATGAGACACGCAGTTGAAACGTGGGATATTACATTCAAAGGAAGAGAATAAAATCAGCATGGATGTCGAGCTGCAAAGTTTCAAACTTGAGTCGGGTCTTCTCAAGGATTCAGTCCTGGGACATTGAGGTGCTGCAGAGGAGTCCTCTCAAAACATCAGCTTTGATTCTGCTGAGATCTCTAAATATGACTGTAGGACCTGTCTCAATAAACAAGCACAATTCCATCCCAAATCCATCAGTATCATGTGCTTGGACTATTTTACCTCTGAATTTTATGGACAGATGATAGTCTTTTTTAAGAATGGTTCCTGAGATCACAGAGGGCATTAGTAATTCCCTGTAGAAAGAGCACAATTAATGAGGACAGTGGTGCTGCCTAGGTGCTGAGGTGCCTTTCAGGGAACTGTGGTAGCCAAAAGAACAAGTTAGAAGCCAGGGTCCCCTAACTCTCAAGAGGGAACCTGTATTTCCTTGCTACCTTTATCCAACGACACACAAACAGCCACAGATTTTATGCTGTGTGACAATTTGGAGGTGGAAAAAATAGTTTCCGTCTGCAGAAATATTGGCATCTTCTTGCGGCTTTTGCAAAAAGGCAAAAATCTCACAATTTCACACATCTCTACTATTAAAGTATGCTGCTTTGTTTCCATATTTATCTTTGTCACATTTAAAAGGAATGAAACAGAATTTCAGAGAAGACCCTCACTTGCAAATGATCACAAAAGAACAAAAAAAGTCACACAGAGATTACGAGAACTCACAAGAGGGAATTAAGTGACAGTTTTGGAAGTGGGGCTTTATTGTAACCAAGGGCCCTTCAGGTTTTAACCACAAAAAATCACCATGGGGCCAGATGGAATCACGTTTGGCACACTTACCCTTGGATGGAGAGGAAAATGTAGATCTAGTCTCTCTGAGTCTGCTGGCTTAACAGGCAGGAAGGATCTACAGCTTCATCTTCCAGGCTTCTCCCACTGGAAAACCCTGGCACGATTACCTGGCAGCTTACAGAGGCTGCTTTAAGGTGCTCCCGTACAAGTGCAGCTGTAGCCTGATTGCACTGGAGACAGATGCAGCCGAAGAAATATACTGCTAAATCTTAGCAGAACATAGCGCATGATACCCAACCATAGCATAGGCACTAGATAACATGCAATCATGGTCTCCTACTGCAGCAAATTCTACATAAACCCAGGCCTCTGAAAGAAAAGTAGTAAAAAAAAATGTGTTTTTCTCATTCCTTATCTGTACCTACTCCATTTTACCTAAGGCTGGCTATTAGCTCAGCTGGTGATGTCACTTACTTCACTGGAACCTGTTATCAAGAAAGATTTCTCACAGGATTTTCCATTTTGTGAGCTTTGTGCTTTGTGCAATGTTGTATTTCATTCCATTAGATAAAGGGTTAAGTAATTCACATTTTACCCATATAGACTAAGTTATACTCCCTGTGGGTTGTTGGCTTTCCATTGGCTAGAATGATGACCTTGGAAACAGACAAAAATGATGCATTGTTGCAATAAATATTATAGCTTGCACCTGTTTCTAATTAAGTCTGCCAAACAATTTCAGAGATACTGAAAAGAGAAATGCGTTGGCTTCTAATCGGGCGCTCTTTGCTGTTTGATCTGGATTATTCAGTGCCCCACATGACCCCACCTTCCTGCTTCTCATTTTTCTTTTTCTTATTGGACTTACAGGAAGCACTAGATGAAGTAAGTCATCTCAAAGAGGAACATCTCTGCCTAAAATCAGTTGTTTCTAAAAACCTGAGAATTGGTTGATTAATACCAACAAGGCCAGGAATACTTTATGGCAGGATACTTCCAAATTTTCCAGTATGGTTCTTGGGTTTCATAGGTCTGTTGTATCAAAAAGTGAATTTCACTTTTGTTCACCTTTCTCCAATATCAGTGATCAGGATCAGGCACTGACTGGGATACTGGAGGTTTCTGCAGGACTTAGACATGTTGGGAAAATAGTGCAGTAATTCTTTTTCCACTAACATTCATCAGATGTAACTGAGCAGCAGTCACCTTTGTATTTCAGAGATAAGGGTACCCTGGGATGACTGGATGACTCTGGCAACTGTTGCCATCAGAGCAGTTGTTATGGGTAAGTATGGACCCAGGAAAATACACACAGGTTGTGGTTTGAAGTCTGGCATCACGCTTCTTACTTGCTTTGTTGATTCTCCCATCGAGTTGATCCCCCATCAAAGTGCTTTTTGTTAAAATCAAGGATTTATTTCTTGCCCATCTACCCAGCCAAACTATTCACAGTTTATGCAAATGAAATGCCTCCTCTGTTGTTCTATGGACAAGTGCAAATACACTTGGAAAGGCCGACGACATCGTCCTTAAAGATTCTAAGAAGAATTGGTAAGATCTCCATTTTCTGAACGGGGTGTGGAAGGCACAGCTCAGCCAATGTGTTTGGCCAATACAAGCTGATGCTGTCAATGACAGAAGCAGTTCAGTCTTTCTTTCACTGCATGGTCCTTCTTCTCATGATGGAATAAGCATTTCTGTACCTGTATTTTGTAATAGGCTGAGGAACTTACACAGACGAAAACCAACCCTGGGAAAAAGAGAAGACTTTATTTTGTCCACATCAGCTCCTTGATTTTGGTTAGTACGCAGCCTGGCAGGACAGGATGCAGCAGCAAAGGCAACAAGGCAACATTTTTGCCTGGATGTGCATGAAATCACAGAGAGAATATGCAGTGACCTCAAGAAAGCAGTGTAGGTCTACAGGTCCTTTCTTTACCACCCGGCGAAGATGTTCTAGTTGCATGCTTATCCTCTGGGCTGCCCAAAGCTTCTCACCCAAAGAAAACATATCTTAAAAGTATCTCAACACTCTGCTCAGCCAACAGCTAATTTCTTGGGAGTGGAGGTTGCACAGGCAATATTTTAGCAGCTGTCCTAGTGAAGGAAGGCTCAGACAGGGCAAAAATAAGCCCAGATACAACAGCACAGAAAGGGAACAGCTTAGCCTGTGGTACCCTGCCAAAGTACTATGACAAGAGATTTATTTGGGAGGAGGGACAGAACTACAGAGGTATTTTGCAGGGTTAGCACAGCTCCTCCAGCTGACACAGTCCCTCTTTGGCATTTCCCTCCATGGTTGGTAATGAGATGCTGCTGGTACCCCCATGGCTGGAGGTACCTGCAGTGGTTCAGCCCATCTCAGTGCTGTGCCAATCACTTAACAATTCCCACAGCTGCCTTTGTACGAAGCCTCTCTCTTAAGCCTCTGGTTTAAGAATTTAGAGTAATCATGTAAAAATGATACCCCTGTGCTCTATGATCCGCTGAATCTCACTAATGCCGGATCCCAGAAGAGGGCTTATTAATGAAAAGATGCAATGCCTCACTCTCTACTCATGTTTCACACGAATATCTCTCATGGATTCGGCAGTAAACCTTACTGCTGATAAAGTAAGTATAATGAATCTCCGTGCTTTGCAAGAATGAAATCTTGGGCTGATGACATAGTTACCTGCTCCGCACCCAGCGTAACAGCAGGCTGGAGAGGGGCGAGGAGAAGTACCTGGATGCTCTGGGGAACAGCCAGCACAGATCACAGCCTCCTAAACCTCGCATCTGGCTTGTAGCAATGCCTTTGGTTGTGTGCAAAGATCAAGAGTGTGGAAGGGAGCAGTCTGCAATTAGCTGAGAGAAATAAAATTATGCTTTATTGCAAATCATGAAGTCAACACAAGAAAGCAGAGTTTTAAAGGGACAGCAATGCCTTGGGGATACTGTGAGTCCTTCCAGTAATACACAGCACCCAAAAGCCCAGGCAGTTCCTTCCAGGTGATGGCTCCTCTGAAGAGACTGGCACCTGGTGCTCTGCAGTCAGCAGGATCTGATCCCAGCCCTGATATCCAGCCACACCTTGAGAAGGCACAGAAAATAATGCCAAGTACTGCCTTTGTCCTGGAGCTCTTCTGCTAATGGATGCATGTTTTGCCATCAAGAGATTTACATCATCAGAAATGCTTTTGGAAGCATTTGTTAAAGAATCTCTTTCAGGTGTCATGTGGTACAGAGGTAAAACACTGTGGACAGCAGAGCAGTAGGTGTCTGTATTTGTCCAAGGCCCCCTGCAACATGAATGCCTTAGCATCAGTAGGATGGTGTAGGACAAGCCTCAGAGATGGCACCATGGAGAAGCCCGAGACAGTCACAGAGGTTGGCTTAATGTCCAGAAACCAGACTGTTCAGCTCACCTTTGCTGCCTGGACCATGGCTCATCCTTTCATATCCAGCCTCACCTTACCAATCCAAACATCTCAAACCTGGTGCAAATCTGAATAAGGAAAATTAAGAGCTGGAGATTCAATGTAATCCCACCTCAAGCACTGGTCTATTCAGCTACTTGAGCAAGCCATGAAAATGTTAGCAATGTGTCTTTGGGGGATGCTCAGGTCAGAGGGAACTCAAACACCCTGAAATTCTGTGGAGTCTGAAAGTAGGTGCTACATTTCATGTTAGCAGCTTGGGTATAACTCCTGGGATTATTCATATCTAAATGCCCCATATGTTGTCTTTAGAGAGGAAGGCGTTCACACCACCTTTATATGTGTGCTTTCTTCCCTTTGCTCTTACATTTCTTCAACATGCAAAATGTACTTAACTCGCTGCTTATTGAATGAAGGATTAGTATTATTTTCTTTCCTCCAGTGAACTTTGTTTCACTTCATCCTGCATATATTTTGCTAGTCTGTGTTTTCCTGCCAACACACTACTGTTGAGCAAACTACCGTACTTAAGGGCAGCCAGCTAGCACAGTGATACCTTTTCACTTGCAGGGAGTGTTTCTGTAATCACGGTGGTGCTGGTGGCATGAGTGACAGCTTAAACCAATGTGCACAAAACACACTTCCAGAAGTTTCACTGAGCTGCGTTAGAACTGAAGCAGCTTCAGACTGCCAAAACACTGAAACACCAAGGGCAAAGCATATCTTGAAATGCAACCTGCAGCATAGCTCTTCTGCAAGCACACATGTTGATCAGGGACTGTGAAGGGAGTTATTGCCCCAACCTCCTGTCACTGTGCTGCTGTACCTCAAGTTCCACTAGGCTGGGAGCAGTTTGAAAACATCCTGCTTTGAGTCCTGCAGAAATTAGAATAAAACAAATTGGTAACAAATTTGCAAGGGCTCTGTATGAGTTTCATGGTCTCCTTTCTTGTTGCTCAGATTAGTTATGTTGCCCAGTAGGAAAGCAAGTAGAAAAGTAGGGTGTCTTTACAACTCATTGTGCTCTTGGAAAACCAGATTGGGTACTCCCATTCACATCACTGTGGCAATGCAGATCTATCTGGTGGAAGCATTTTCTTTTTCTTGTGGAATTATACCTCAGGTCCTGCTAGGTAGCTGTTCTCTTTGTTCCTGCAAGCCAAGCTAGTTGCAAGATCATGCTAAGCCATGCTTATAACCTCTCACTAAAAAGGAAGAGATTACAAAGGGGGCAAAATACCCCAGAGGGTTCCCCTTTATCAGAACCTCCCTGTCAGTTTGCCTTCTCATTTCCTGAGCTCTTGTCTGATTATTAGTGTACTGGCAGAATAAAAATAACCTCATATTCCTACATGAATCATAAATAAAACCCTTTTATTTCATCAAAGGGGTTGGCAGGTTTATAGTCCTTTGCAATGCATGCACGATGTGAATGACATACCTTTAATTTTGCTGACAAGCTTGTCGGGGTCCTAATGAAAAAGAGTGAAAAGTGGGTGACTTCTCTAAAGGTTTAGCCGTTGCTTTTTGGTGAGGATATATATTTCACCTTGCCACAGTAATCAAGGAGCCAACTGATCTTGGTAATGAACTCTTCAATTACAGTCCACTTCTGACTCTTCAGGAATGCCTAGGCAACAATACCACGGTGATTATTGCTGATATTACAGATTAAAGTCACCTGGGGGGGAAAAAAAAAAAAGAAGGAGGGAAAGAAGAAAGAAAATCCAAGCAGTGTCCTTGCTAGAGATTCTGGTGTCAGGATGCATCAGCAATGAACTGAAAAGAAAGATCACATTCCGGATTTTGAGAAGCTAGATTTTATGTCTCATTTGTACATACATTTGGACAATCATAAATTCGCTGCTCTCTTGCTTGTATTTTGATATTATGTGTTTCCACGTTTGTTCATCTAGCTGGTTTGTTTTTTAGAAGCCAATATAAAGCATTGTGCCACTTTTCTTGGGAAAATCTCATGAAAAAGGATAATACAAAGAATTTCTTTGGGTATCTGACAAGCAACTGTCCAGAAAAAGGCTGAACAGAGGAAAAAGTCCAGGAGTACAAAAAACAGTGTAAACAAACTGGAAATTTCTCCTATTTCTGATCTTTTCTAGCGTGAAATGTTAACTTCTTCCAAAGAGGGAGGCAAGCAGTTAAAAAATACATTTTTAGCAGTGATGCAAATTCCTTCTCCTTCTTCAAAACATCTCTTATTTCTACTTTCCTTTTGTCGCCTCCTATTTTGCTCATGTAAAAGTCATAAGAAACACTGGTCCCGAGGTTTGCTTTCTGACCACGGGTAATTGTCAAAGCCACAAGTCTATCCCCTCTCAGGAAAGAAGACCTGCTTTTTTGGAAACGACCCAGGTCTTCATGTAGTAATTTAGAAACAGATAAAGGGAATAGGAAAGCTGGATGTGCTGACTTGGAGATTATCCTTTGTTTTGTTGGTGATTCCTGTCTTCAGCAGTAACTCATCAAGAGAAGGGTTTGGATTTGGCAAGTTTCCTTATGCTGATTCCTGTTCTCTTCAGTTACATTTTCTCTTTCTCTCCACTTTTTTTTTTTTTTTTTTAACTTGCTCTGGGGAATACAGAGGTGGGTGTGAAAAAAATGAGAAAGAGACAAGCAAAGCCATGCCACTGGGGAAAGAAGCAGATCTGAGTGTGCAGGACTGTGTGTGCACAAGAGGCAGGGCAGAAAAGGGAAGAACCTGTGGGCAGTGAGTGTCGGATCACTATCATATCAGGACTCTTCAAGATTCCTAAGCTGTGTTTTTAATTTTCATTACTTTCCATTTTCCTTTGATAAGTTCAAGAGCAGTATCTAATTTTAATAGGAGCTTTTCATCAAACGTGGATATCTTCCTTCCTCAAGGGATGCCCTGGCCACAAAAACATCAGGCTCTGTGAAACATTAGCTAATCCCAGCTAGTTACATGACCCTATCAAGCAAAGAGATAAATTTTACTCTTCATGAGGGTCCTACTGTTTATACTCTAGACAAAATTCTTACATCTCAAAGTTTTAAGAGGAAAAGCATTTTTCATAATGCTGGGAAACTGGCCTTAAAGACTTGGGTCATACAAATCTGAAACTGTTCCTTGTTTCAAACTAAATACCCTGACAGACTTCCTCTTGGTCACAGCTGACAGCAGCAACTCATTTTCCCAGCATAATATCCAAACAGGTAAAGGTAGGAGCCGCCATACTTCCAAAGCTCTTTTGCTCCACTCTAACACATTTAACAGACCGAATCAAACCAGACATACTATCTTGATACATTTAACATGCATTGCATCAAACTGTATTTTAAAACATGTCACAGCTTATTTTAAATGGGAAATGGAGTGCGTTTTGTACTTATTTAGTGCCTTGCTCCATCAACATGTCCCTAGTGCTTTGGTAAATACGAGCATGCTGTCTGTAGTGGTGTTGCCTCTTCAGCTGCTTGAAATGAAAGGTCGTGCTAGAAAAGGTTAAGAAGAGCCTTACATACTCTGAAATTATCAGTTTGTTATCACTATTAATAATACTTTATAGTACTTAACAAGCTACTTTTCATCTTCAAAGCACTTTGCAAATATTAATTAATCCTCCCAATCTGCCTGTGGGGTAAGCAAATGCTGTTGCTCACAGAAGTTGAGTCAAAGGATTAAGTGATGTGCCCGAGCCAAGAGGGTCTGGAGCAGCCTCTGCATGTCCTGCTCTGCTGCTCAAAATACTCAAAATACAAAAAAGAAGTGTTTTGCCATGCTCAGATGGGATGGTGGAGGTGTGCCACTTTTAAACAGTTGTTTTCTTAAAGCACTGGTTTGCAATGCTGACTGTCCCTTCAGCTGCTTGAACAAATTGATATGATCTGTGACAGCCAACAGCTGGCAGCAGCTCATAGACCCATGTTCAGCACACTTGGCAAGGACCTGAACTTGTGTCCTCAGTACAGCCACAAAAATCTGTACATTGTGCTGTGTATACAAAGTGTATGCATGCAGACTGCCAGCATCGTTGTGTGTATGTATGTATATGCATGCACATTTCTGGTGGCCTTCTACAATGAAGTGGCTGCACCAGTGGATCAAAGAAGGGCATCTACTTGGATTTCTGCAAGGTCTTTCACATGGTCCCCCACCACATCCTTATCTCTAAATTGGAGAAGTACTGGTTTGAAGGGTAGACTATCCAGTGGATAAGGAATTGCTTGGAAGGCAGCAGTCAGAGGATTGTGGTCAATGGCTCTGTGTCAAGGCGGAGGTCGGTCTTCTGTGTTGTCCCCAGGAGGTCCATCTTGGGACTGCTATTCTTCAACATCTTTGTCAATGACACACATGAAGGGATGAAGTACATCCTCAGCAAGTTTGCGGATGACATCAAGCGGAGTGGTGCAGCTGATGCAGCAGAAGGAAGGGATGCCATCCAGAATGACTTGGACAGACGTGAGAGGTGAGCCTTACACTTGGATCAGGGAAACCCCAGATATGGGCACAGTCTGGGAGAAGAATTCATTAGGAACAGTCCTATGGAGAAGGACTTGGGGATCCTGTTGGACAAAAAAGCTGGACATGAGCCAGCAGTTTGTGCTTGCAGCCAAAGCCAACAGTACCCTGAGCTGCAACAAAAGAGGGGTGACTGCAGGGTAGTTGTTCCTCTGCACTGCTGTCTTGAAGCTCCATCCTCTTCAGGCAACCAACCCGTGGCTGAGGGGTTTGGAACTATATGATCTTTGAGGTCCCTTCCAACTTAAGCCATTCTATGATTGTGTGATTCTATGCTCATATACTTTCTGCCTTTTTCTGCTCAGCTCTTTTAGCTGGAAGTTCAATACTTTGCTCTTTTAAAGAGTGTATTAATGTGATGCCAATATGTCCAGGCTGCAAAAAGCTGCCTAGATATTTCCTGCAAAGACTACAGGTCTATATCCATGGAGGAGTTCTGAGTTGATTCCTAGAACTACTCCCCAAACTTCGCTTAAAGTGACCATGGAGTGATTGCTTGAAGCAGCAGGCTCCTTTAAAGACCTTGCAGGTCACAGTCACTCAAGACACAGCAATAATGAAATGTGTCATTGAAAACAGCCTGTGTAGTGCTGTGGACTGATTAGAATCATGTTTGTTTTCTTCAAACAATTCCAAATAGTTTCAGTGCTAACAAACTATGAAAGGTTTAGGGGAAAGAGCAGTCCCATGATGATATTTTATTAGTCCATGCTTCTTTGAGTTGGTAAATCACACTATTTTGCTTTATTGAGCGTTCCTTTAGGAGCATACTGGAATTTTTTTTTTAATCTGTAACAATTAATTGAGTGCCCAGTGCATCACAAGGCACAGCTTGAAATCGGAACTCTACATTTTCTGGGAGTCCTTTGGTGCTACACAGGCTGCCAAAAAGGATAGTAGCTGTGACATGTGGTGCACCTGCTGATAAATGGTGGTGAGAATGCAAAACCGGAGGGCTAAGGACTTCCTTTCAGGACCACACTGCATTCATGAAATGAATGTGATGATGACCCTACTTGTTAATCTTATTTATTTCTTTTTCTTTTGGCTAGTGAGTTACTTATCCCCTTGCCTGCATGTTAGTTTTATCTTCGCTGCACAATGCTATGGCAAGACCAGCAAAATCAGCATCTTCTAATATATAAAAGAGCCTTTTGAAGGTGGAATAAACCAAGGAGGCCAGTTACTAATTATAGTCCATTGTACCAGACGTTGAGAACAAATGAATAATAATAATAAGCCTTGCGCTTACTGGAGCACTGTGCAAAGACAGTGGTGCCTTTGTGGGAGAGGAAGATCCCTTCAGTGGACCAGAGAGAGAAGAAATGGGATTGTTAATGTATGTAAGATGCAGGCAGATTTCCATTGGTACTATTTCATTGCAGAGGCAGAAGGTAGCAGAGCCAATCATGAAAAGCGTGAAGGTGTGAAGGCACAAAGATGGAGAGTTGATTAAAAGCACCATGGGGAGTGTGGGAACAAATCAATGGTAATGATGGAATTATGCCTGAGTGGAACCCAATAGTCTGCAGTGTCCTACTGGCTTGGCACTGGGGATTAAACACAGCAAAGAGCAGGGCTCAGCCCTTGTCTGGCCAATTGGCACCCAGAGACATGCTGATGTGCTGAGGTCCCTGAGGAAAGCATGAACTCAGTGTGAACATCTCTGTGCCCCCAGCAGCCAGAGGAGCACTCTGCAAGTGATCTCACACAAACTAAGCGTTAGTGCCCTTCTCCTTCCCTATTTTAGGGACTGCTTTGCTGGCGTGAGGCATGCATCTCTATGTGTACATACCTAAGGTGCCTCTGTCACTGTGGCTCTAAGACAGCCAGCGATTGCTGTGGTGAAGGAATGTGGCACAAGGATGCTCCGTGTTCTGTGGAAGGGCATTCTGCAGAGGGAAACAACCAAACAGCTCATGAGGCTCATCAGTTTTCTCTGCTGGAAAACAATTTGGAATCTCTCTTATCTGCTTTTGTGGTTGATGACATCAGGAAAAAGGACCCAGGGCTGTTTTGCCTGCCTGTTTGTCACTGGATGCAATGGATGGGAAGATGAGCAGACAGTGCCTAGTAGAACAGATAGGGAGTGCTGGGACCTACCTCTAAGAGATAATTGCATTCTGAAACTGAACATGCTATCATACTAAGCATCCTGGAGATTTCCTCTCCAAAGGCACATTTCCTGAGAGCAAACTGCAAGGACAACACTGTTCAAAGAAGGGACACAAGAGGACAGTTTGACCTCAGCCTGGCCTTGCCTGCAAGGAAATAAATCCCTCACACCATGGCACCAGAGCCAGACCTTGAGCAAATACAGTGAGGATATGCTGGCTTTTCTGGCACAAAATCATGGCTAAATAACTGAAAGCTAAACATTTTCCAAATAAAATATTTGCCAGTGGTGTAACAGGCAGCTACAGACAGAGGGAGGTTGGTCCCAGACAACCTGCACTCCTGCTAAGAGACCTTCCCATTGGAGGGGTCTACACATACCCCCAAAGTCAGAACCCTGGGGCAGGAAGGGACATCCTGTGGTCTCTCCAGAGATAAAATTTTCCAAAAGGTAAAGAGTCACAATTAGAAAACGCACAGATTCTTTCCAAATGGTTTTAATGAAGATGATTTAGGAGTGGTCAGGTAAACAAGCATCAGCAGGTGTAAAGCCAGCAAGGAAAGCACGGGGCCAAAGCGTGTGTCCCTGCGTGGGCCCATTCCTCACACATCAATTTTTCTCTTGAAAGGCAGCAAACACCAGGAACTGGAGAGAGAGACCTGGGCACATCACAAATATTGAATGCAAATACAACACATTCCAGTGCAGACCCTTCACTGAAACAAGCCCTAGAGCAGAGCTATCTCCTCCCGTTTGTGACAATGCAAAGGACTTCAGCACAATTGTATTTACTCAGTCAAATGGGAGCTGCTAATGCACTTCAGCCTTAGAAACAAAACTTGGTATAGCCTTTCCAAAGCAGAGGATTTATTTGCATGTGGCTGCTGACTTCAGAGGCAGTCTCTTCCCTGGCAGCCTCAACTAGTGAGAAGTCACTTGCCTTGAACAGGGATGTTGCCCTTTGGCTGTAAGCTCAAGTGGGAGTCAGAGCAAGGAAGTGCAGGTTTAGCTTAGATACAGTCAGAGGTAAAAATGCATTTGATCTTTGCAGTTTTCAACTTTCCAGAGCCAAACCAGGCCTAGAGAGGCAGCAGACTGGCTTTCTTGCCCAGACTGCTTTCTTGCACAAATTCTTATCCAGGGCTCAGGATCAGGGCCATCTGGACATTGCACAATTCATTTGCTTTATGCAACTCACTTCACCGTCATTTATCTCATTTCCTTGTAGTCCATTGGGAGTAAATATATTTATTTTCTTGGAGACTACTGGATGGGAATTAAACATTGGTATTAGGCACACTCCTACTAAATAGGCACTGCTAATGTGGTATGCACCACATCTTGTCTGGTGTAGAACATTTATTTTGCACTTAGGGTTTCTGGGAACTTTTAATAAAGACCTTGACTTTTGCCTGAACACTGGTGAGAAGCACTTGCTTAGAGAGTATTTTGTTATTTCTTTTTAAAAATATATCATCGAGCCTTTCAGCCTAATCTTCTTTAAGCTTTTCAACTCAGATGCTGAATCAGAATTTCAATGAAACACATACTGGTCATATTTGTTCCAACTTCAGCTCCCCACAGTCAGAGGAATGAATCCTTCCTAGGATGAAGTTTTCTTCAAAAATACAATGTGGTAATTCCTCTTTCTAACAGAGACTATGCAGCTGTCTTAACCTTTGCCCACATATGGAAGGCACTTGAAAAAAACTGTTCTTCAGATACATCAACTTTAGGAGACCAAAGTCAGTAAAGAGCAACCTAACCATTTTGTCTCCACTGACAAGAAGGAGTTAATTATCTGCTTATTTTCACTCATTCTGATGCAGAGCTTGGTTGTGCATATTAAATGTCCAAGTTACCAGATTCAAAGAAAAACCTGATCTCAATTTGGCTACATATTAAAAGTGGCATTCCCTGTTGTCCTACCTAGCACTGTTAATTGCATACATTTAGCCCTCTATTGGAGAATAATTTAGCTTCAGATTGAAAAGAAACAGCCCTGGCCTTGGCTATTTTGGCATGTAAGTCTCCAGTATGACTCTGTTTTCTAAGCAGACATTAATGATTCTAAAACTAATATTCATTGTTTGGAGAGGCATAGCGGCCTTGGCATTTACTTAACCTTTTGTCTCATGTATGAAACTGAGTCAGCCTAAATCCTTTTCTTAATTAATATCCCTTTTTTTCTCTCTCCTTTTTTTTTTTTTTTTTTTCCTTTTTCTGTCCAACGTTATTTATTAAACAATTTGTATGCAACAATTAGAGTTGAGAGATTAGGAAAAACAACACTGTATGAGAAAGCTCACTTAGCGCAACATCAACCATGAAATGTGTCCTCCAGCTCCTACAAAACTGAGCCCAAATGTGATGGGGATGCAGAATAAGTCAGGGAAAAACACCTGAAAAGCAAGTCCCACCATTTACCTTGTAGCTCTAGCAATAAACTATTTCCCCAGTATTATACAATTATATGGAGAAAGAGACAAACTGCAGCTTCAAAAGCATAAAAAAACCAGGGATTCAACACTTCTTGTGAATGCTGGTGATATCTATGATTGTTAATAAAGTACAATCACTGAATCTTTTCTCTTATTGCTTTGGTAGGGATAAACTATCATTTGAAGCTCCTGTAAAGTTTCACAGGACAGCACTGTTTGTTCCACGTGCAGCGCCTCACCTGGAGCTCACCTACTTTTCCAGTGGGTTTGTATTTTGCACTTTTGTGATTGCAGTTACTTTGCATAAAATACTGCTAATGGGTGTTCAAATCAACAGGGAAAAAAAGAGAACATCTTCAACACTGAAATAAAAATCATTTTGGGATTGCATTAGCAATTGTATGTCAATAACTGAAAATCAGAATTCACCAGGCTTGCGTATAAATGAACATGGAATGTGAAGACTTGAGCATCTTTCCTTATCTATTACCCTTTCAGACAGCAGTTCAGTGTAATCATGGGCCCTTTGCACAGTGACTGTTCTATCTTACCGGGGCTGGATGACAAACCAGATCTACATGGAGAGTTATAATATTCTCCAGACTTCAAAGTTATAAGCAACATGGACATGGTAATGTGAGCCATCTCGTGCATCCATTAGAATACTCACAGGAATAAGATTCATTCTAAATGTTGGCAACAATGTCATACTAAATCTTACATTAGCCAATGATCCTCAGTCTCCACGTTCTTAAGATCTCCTCCCTAAAAGTCTTTAGTAGATCTCTGGGTACCGCACAAAGCTCTTGACCCACATCTTGACCCATAGATTCTGAACCCTTCTACCTTTATGACTAAGTCCTGATTGGCAGATGCATGACTGGAAGGTGGGGAAGTCTTGGGAAGAAACATAATGGGGCCATTACTCAGAAAATTTCCTGAGAGCTGAACTGGACCACTGAGCTGGTGCTCCCAAAAGAAGCTCTACAGCTCTAGGGCTTCAGCAATGTTTTCTTCACAACTCCCTCACCAATGTGGTACTGCTTTAAATATTATTTCAGGGCATGAACTTAGAGAGTAGGTTTTAAAATCCAAATGCATGTCTATAAACCCAACATATTAATAAGTTAACAGTTTTCAGTAAGCCATCAGCATTTGCATGCATCTTCCTACTTGTTATGTGCAGTACTATATTTTTTAATGTTTCTTGGATGCTAGCCAGGGAGTCTGGGTCTCTAGTTAGTTCATCTATTACTTTCTTGCCACAATAGATCTGGGTCTTGGCCAAGTACTGGACTCATGCTGCATACAAAAACAGAATTCTTCCCTTTATCTATCAATACTCTTTGCTTTTCAAGGAAGGGGGGAAAATACCATAAATTAAGATAAATAAGTCAGTACCTAAAAATCTAGCACTGTGTTCAGCAGGACTGTTTTTAGCATCTTTTAAAACTATGAGTAATCAAAAGATGTCCTTAAGCATTTATACTGCTTTGGTCTCCCAAGAGTAATTCATGACTATTCAACTGAACAGGAGAGGAAGATCTCCTCTTTAAACCCCTCCTCGATCTCCTTAGGCCTTCCAGAAGAGTGAGCAAGGTTACATGACCTGAAATAAAACAGTGGAGAAAGAGGCTTCCGTGCCCCCCTCCCCTTTTCAGTGTTTCTCAGCCTATGGACCATGGGAGGGCTTAAAGAGGCCACGGAGGGTTAGAGGCTACCTCTGTTTTACATTTGACCTTAAAAATTTTTATCTGTTACTCAGGGCCTCTGGTGTCTTCATGGGAAGAAAGATGAACACAGGAGATGCTGTTTTGAAAGAGTTTGGAAAACATGGTTCAGTTCAGCCCTCATGGCAGGGCAAGGAATGCTGCATTTTGTAGTGATTAAGGTAGCAAGCTAATACTTAAATTAAGGAAGGGCAAGTAAAATGAATGACTGGTTTTAGAGCCATTTCAATCCACAGGCAGTCTAAGCTGCCCTTGAAAGAGCTGGTACCACCTACCAGCACATCCCTGATATGACCATTTCTGTCCCCCAAAGATATGCAGTTAATCTAGGAACTAATAGGGTAAAACATCATTTGACCTAAAAAATGCCCCTCCAGCAATGCTGCTGAGCACAGGGAAACCCTTACAGAAGGGCAGGAGGCAGGAAGGAATGGGGTGGAAAAGATGCTCCATGCCCTTGAGTTCCATTCCAAGCTCCATTCCTGCTGACCTCAGAGCCACCATGAAACCTAAGTCAAGGACACATGGGGCAAAGCCCGAAGCAGGGCCAGAGATGATGGTTCAGTGTCAGCTGGGCTGCAGCTACAATCACAATCCAGTCCACA